CCTACCGCTTGTACTAATAAAGTGCCAAGGGCCTAAGTGGTCACCTTAATATTAAAAAAAAATATATATATATATAATTATAATATCTTCATACAAATTACTACGAAGCTGTGACAGTATCAATTTAATATTGTTAAAATTTTGCTACAAATTATAACAAGTTTAGTATTAAAGTTGTTTTTTTATTTTTTTACAATGCCAGATTTAAATCATGAAAAAATTAAAAATATTTCATCACAATATTATTACAAAATCATGACAACTTTGAATAAATGTAAGTACTATAGAATAAAAACCCAAGAATTTAAGTTTTCACTATAAAAAATTTAGTTTAAAAAAATAATATTACATTCAGTATATGTATAAATAAATATAGTAGTACCATTTAAGTGCAAAATAATGTTACTTTGAAAATCGGGTCTTTCAAGAATTACTAATATGGTCTCAAATTAGGCATCCCAAATTAATATGACAAATATATAGTCTATTCTCCATAACAGATAAGTGCACACTCTGAGTGCACTTTCTATACAATGATAAGTGCACATAATTTGATCAGTCTAATGTAATTATTTAATATAATTACTTTCATAATGGATGAATATTTTATAAATGCACTTTTACCAAACAATGTGTATTTATTAAAAGTCGACTATATTGAATTTATAAAATCATTTCTTATTTCGAAGTAACGCACATGGAAATAATGATATTAAAGCAATATAAAAAATAATAAATTAGTTATAATACAACTTTTCTGGTACTAAATTCACTATAATCAAAACCCAAAATTTTAACTTATGGATTTCAAGTTCAATGATAAAGAAGTCACTGAGGTGCATGATGATTTATTTTGTATTTACTGTATGCTTGACATGAGGAAGAAATAATCGCATGCCAAACGATTTGGATTATTCAAAACTTATTGTACTTTATTTGGATTAGCTTGGTCAGATCAGATGATCCCTTTTATATTTTATTTATTACTTGTACTTGAATTGTGCAGTAGTTGAGTCAAATTTTGCTGTGTCATGGAATTTTTAGGAAGAGTACTCACTGGTATTATTCCAGTGACTTCAAAAAGACTTATGAGTAGTTAGTTGTTTAGTAAATTAAAATATTAAAAACTTTTTTTTGTTTTCATTGCAAATTAATTTTAAAATACTTGAACTAAATTTTTTTTCTATATCCTTATTTTAGCAATTCCAATTCTAATTCATACTTAATGTAATCATAACAGCTTGTTTGTTTTATAAAATATGTCATTTCTTATAAAATATTAATATATTTTTTCTATGGGTTCATCTAACTTACTTTATGTCACATAGCAACTATGATGAAGCATCTAAATAAGAAAGAGGACCTCTTATTCGCTCACATGTACGTATGTATGTACCTGGTAACCATCCACATTAATTCATAATACTTTATTACTACATGTTTCAGGTTTTGATTACACTAATCCAGAAATCAAGTTTTCTGCACATAACTTACAGGTCAGGCACAAATTTAACAGGTATAGACGTGTTATAAATTCTGATTTAGAGAAATAATTAAAAATTCTTTATATTAACATTTTTACTTAGTTGGGCCTGTTCACAAAGCTTATTCAAGCCCTACCTAGGTTAAAAGTGCAAGCTCAAAGCCCGCAATTTTCTTATCACCCATTCTTAAAATAACAAAAATTTATGTAAATAACATTTGAAAAACTTCTAGAAAGTCAGATACAGTAATATAGATTTTTAAAACTTATACTAATTAATAAAAGCAGTAATTTTTAAATAATATAAGATATTTGACTTATACATATTCAAGTACTGTTGCTAGTGTGAAATAAGTGTATTATGAAATAAAGCACTTAATATATATATAGTTATTAAAGAAAAATATTGTGAAATAAAATAAATGAACTTAGAAGTAAAGAAGTTATAAACGTAGATTGCTTGCAAGTTTTTTCTATTTTGCGAGGGTACTATGATGTTCTTTGTTAATTTATCCAAAGATTTTATCTTTTCAATGTTTTTTGATGAATAATTAATAATGAATGCTTGCTAGATAAATCCACATAAATGATGCATAGAATTTTGTATCTTTAGTTCATTGATATTAGTGGGATTTAACCACCGATTCAGCATGTGAGAGGTTGTAGATTCGTTTACAAAAGCTAAAATTTCTTCTTTTTGTAAAGGGCCTGTTGTAGACCTGTAATAAAAATATTTAAATTATAATAAATTAAATAATATTATTAAATTGAACTATATAATACTAAAATAACTTTGTCTCCTTAAAATCACTAATAAAATCCATAACATTATTGACTAAGCTGTTTCTAAAGTCACCGAAATGTCTATTTGCTATATGAAGACATTCAACACCTTTAGTGGAATTGAGCTCACAACTAAAAATTTTTAGTACCAACTCCTCAAATGCGCCTTTTCTAGAATTTCAAACATGAAGAAAGAGACATTTGAGTTCTTCTAAAAAATCACAATTAGCCTTTATTTTATCCCCTTGGTTTTGCAATGTTGTAGTTGATGATCTGGGAAAAGTAAAAGGCATAAACTGTGATCCCTCTACAACAGGTGCTTGCATTGATAAATACATATTATTTGCTAATTGCAGAATACTAGGATTCTTGCATAACTACGTACAGAGCTAGTAAATCAACATTTTATTAAAAGGTGAAGGAACAACTTTATTAATTGTGTCAGAATGAAAGATCGAAGTATTTATCATATTATGAGTGTTATTTATCTGAATATTCATTGTATTATCACCTGACCCCAATAGTATCTTTCTTGAATTCAAAGATCTATTTAATGAATTATAGTTAAATTGGTCATTGTTTCTTAAATTTGAAACTGTTATTGGTTTTGTCCTCGAAATTTCATTTAAAAAATTAAATTCATTTCTGAGTTATTATAGATTGGACTATTTTCTCTTGACATTGCTAGTCTTGAAGGCACTGTTCTATTTGAAGAAATAATTTCTTTTTGAATTCAATTGCTAGTCCTTGATTTAAACATTAATATATTTTGATTATTAGATCCTGTTGACATTGGCCTCAAAGGTAAACCTTGATCTGCAAGTTCATCAACTTCGTTAAAAGCATCATCATTGTTAAAAATATTATCAAGAGTATCAACATTGTTGAAAGCATTATAATCATCAAGAATATCATCATCATCATTAGAAATATCATTAGGAGCAGTATCATTGTCGTTTAAAAGTTCATTAATAATTTGTGATGATTAAGATATAGCTGTTTTGTGTGTCTTCTTGTGTCCTTTTTTACTTTTACTTTGTGTATTGTTATCATAGTCATTTAAAGACGAAGCATCTAATTCTTGCTGCTTATAACCTTTTTTGATACCTGCATTTTTACTTTGTGGAATAATAATATCATCTAAAGGATCATTAGGGTCATCTGTTGAAGCAGCCACTTCTTTTCTCTTGCAGCTCCTTTTATTTGAGTTAGCTGTGCTTATTTTTTCATTTGCATGCTTTTTTGTATTTCTAGAGCTCATTATTATTTTGAAAAAAAAGAGAATGAAAATAACATCATAAAATAAAATAATATTTATACTATCCCTTAATATGTAGACCAACGCAGGCAAATTTGCCTGCGTTTTTGCACTTTTTTAGCTCTGATTTACT